CCTACTCACTCAACAAGGCTCTGGCGCAGCTGCTTGTCAGGGAACTTGGTCTTCGGGGAATGGGATTTGAGATTTTTCTGCAGATCCAGAGCAGCCTTCTCTATCAGCATGCTCACCATCTTCATCTGCAGCTGAGGCTTTGACTGAGGAAATGGAAGACAGTGCCTGGTTAGCAAAGGTTCTTCCCAGGGCCCAGCATGCACCTGAAAGAGGATCTCACCCTACTCTTATTAGGAGGGGATGTGGGGTCCTCCTGTCTGGGCTGCTCAGTGTCTGTGACACTCCCTGCTCCCTTAGCCAGCACCTCATCTCCAGCATCTTTGCCTGCCCAACCACTGCTGGCAAAATTTCCTTGATCTGGCCAGGCAGGCAGACAAGCCAGGAACCTTCCAGAGCTCTAGATACTTGCCTGCCCCCAGCCAGGACCAAGGCAGCTTGGACAAAAGCTGTCTTGAAAGGGAACCGGGACCAAGCTGGTGTCTTAGAGATGAGCACAGCCAGCACAGTCCTAGGGCGCAGTCAGGCAGCTGCTGTTCAGGTCTGTAAATCTGGCAGGGCTTGGCTTGGGACTAACAAATTCCCCAGCAATAACCTGCATCTCCTTCAAAGCACCATCAACCCTTGAGCATGGCCTTCAGGATCTCTCCCTGAGGTAGCCAGGAAACTACCCCAGAAGAGACCATGACCAGAATGGCAGCCCTAGGGACAATGCTGAGGTGACACATGGTTCTAAGTGGGCAGGGAGGTCCCAAGTGCCATCAGGGCACTGGGAAGCTGCTGTGGGCTGCAAGGGGCTCAGGTGACATGGAGAAGGTGGCATGTGCCAAATGGGGCTGCATCTGGTCTTACTACAATGCCAGAGTCAGGCACACAGGGATTCAGGTTTCCAGTCTTCGGATTTTGAGTCGTTGGAGTCTGAGCTGCCGGGGTCTGAATATTTGTGATCTGAGTCATCAAGGTCTGAGAGTTCAAGGTCTCAGTCTTCGGGCTCTGATTCTTCTTCCCAACAACTGATTTATTGCTCTCACTATCTTGTTTCATGTGTTTTACAAGCTGTTGCAGTGGCTTCTCATATTTTTCATCGCCTGAAGGAAGAAAATATCCACAAAGAGAAGTGTGAGCAAAGTGCCATTTAAGCTGGGATGGCCCTGCCTCCCAACAGTGGCTTCTTCCAGAAAGAAATTCCTTAAGCCATCTAAGGAAAGTGGATGCTGCTGCTCCTCTCTGAATCCTCATGTTTGCTCCCACCCATCGTCCTCCCCACAGAGGAGAGTCTCATCCCCTACAATGTCATGCAAGTCCAACCCTGCCAGAAGCCCTGCCAGAAGCCCTGCCAGCCTCTCTTACAACTTTCCCAAGCCTTTCAGTCCAGCCATCATCCTTCAGGACCCTGCCAGATGTGCTGGCAAGCTCTGCAGGATGGTTCCTGGGACAAAGGCCACATGGGATCCTCTGCTCAAGACTCACAAAGCAGCTAGATGGCTTGAGTTGGTCTGGGAGTCCTGCAGCCCTCCAGGCTTGGGTGCAGGTGGGCATGAGCTGCCCTATGGGCATTTGGTAGGGAACAAAACCAGAGGGGCCCTTCCTGGCAGCAGACAGGCAGTGCCCACCTTTGATGTTCCAGGGCAGGTTGACACTGATCATGGGAAAGGACGCTTCTCCTTTCAGACAGATCTTTTCCGGCTCCAGGTCACCCACTTTAAGTTGGTAAATCCTGCTGAAGGCTCCTGGTAATCCTGGCATGTAAGAGAATTTCAGCACTTGCTTCTCACCAGGTGCAATGGAGCCCTGCAGGAATGGGAGAAGAGGAAGGGAACGCATCATTGTTTGATGGCTCAGGGGACAGACAGGCTGAGAGGACAGGTTCTCTATCTAGAAGAAACCATCAGACCACAGCACCTTCGCGATGAATATTACAGTGTTGGCAGTCGCAATTGTTAGAGTAAATACTAGGTGTTTTATAATGTTGACTTTTGTAAAAGAAGCTTTGCTAAAGTTCAGAGTTCTTTTAATTGTGAATGTTGTGTTGTGATACCAATGTTGCTGAAGAGTTGTTGTAATATTAACATTTAATCAATGAAAGAATGGAAAGCTTTTCAATTTTGAAAAGTAACAAATGACCACCACTAGGACAACTGCACATACTCCAAAAAGACAGGACAGAGGAGGAACTATTAAAATGTTTGAATTCATATAACTGTTTATAAATTTGTATTAGGCTGATGCCATACCCAGGGCATATAAGGGGTGTTTCTGTGTTGACTGATGTGCCTCTGGCTGTGGCTAAGTACCCAAGCCAGGCACCCACCACTGTTACTTTTGCTTTATTGACTTTGTCCCCTGCTGTCTCCCATTAAATTTTCTTTAAATTTTAAGTGAGGAGTGGGCTTTGTTTCTCACACCTTCTACCTTCCTTGTGCCCAAAAGGTCAAGCCTCTGACCCTGGGGTGCAGTGTGTCCTCCCAAGGGCTCATACAACTGCAGCCCCAGCACAGCCTGATGCGAGCACAGCTCTGCTGCTGCTGGGGTTTGCCTTCTGCCAGCAAGGGTCCATCTCAACAAAAAAGCTCTTTTGCTGTCACTATGGAAGAGAAATCCCCACACTCAGCAGCTCCTCACATTCCTTGTAGGAGACAGGCATTAAGAAATGGAAAAGCCAGTCGTCTTCCTCTTCCCTCTGCAAGGAGGGACAAAGGCAGGAGTGCTGCTTCGGCTCAAAGACATCCAGGCAGGACTGAGAAGCCTGGACAGTGGTGGGATGGTGCTAATTTTTATCCTTGCTCTTCCAGCCCTGCTGTGCCCTGGCCCCCTCACTGCCCCACAAAGCCACTGCCCAGCAACAAAGCTGGAGGAAGCAGGGACCAGCAAGCCCACATAAGGGATATGTATGTAAGTGGTGCTTAGCGCTGGCAGCAGGGAGGCAGGGCCAAGGAGTATGACCTGTGTGATCACATAGTCTGGGTAAGGTGACCCCCAGAAACACTCCAGTGCCAGCACAGCCCGAGAGCTCAGTCATCAAGGTCCCCAGAGTGACTGTGAGGAACCAATTAAACTGTAATTTATGTCTCAACATATGTTACAAACACATTTTCTGACATGGGATGAAAAATTACTACAGCAGCTGTAGACTTGCTGGGAGCCTTAACACATTCCACGTGTAAAGGAAGTTTCTAGGAAAAAATGCAGGCAGGCTCTGACTCTGGGGGAAGCAGCCTCCCCCTTGGAGGTGCGCAGACCCCAAAACCCAGGACAATTTTGCCCGTCTGACCAACAGTCTTCCTAAAAGGGCTGAGTTATGGGAGGAATCTTAGCATAGAAAAGCAGTTAACACTGCCAGTTTTTCCCAGCCGTTTTTGGTTTTTTGGTGGGCTGGGAGCACCTGAAGGGTCTGGTACTTCTTCTCTGTCTGTCTGTGCTGCTGTCGCCACTTCTCTGCTTGCCTCAGCAACCTGGTGCTGCTCCGCTGTTTGCCCGAGGGAGCAGCAGCTGCACCCCGACCGTGACAGGGACAGCTCCCGAGCTCGGCCACTGACCACCCCCGTGCCTGTGCTAGAACCTGCTGATATACCCTGCTGATATACCCTGCTGATACACCCTGCTGATACACCCTGCTGATAGAACCTGCTGATAAACCCTGCTGATACACCCTGCTGATAGAACCTGCTGATAAACCCTGCT